AAACAGCCATGACTTGGACATTTATAATTTATTATGGAAAATATTCCTAGTATTTCTTTGAACTGGTGCTTGGTGGATGGATGGCTGCTAGTCGCAGACAAGCAGGCAAGAAGGGAATCTCTGCCCCCTGTAGTCAGCTAATGTTTGCCCACAAGTGATCCTTCCTTCCTACCTTCCTTCCATTTCTTGGGTGAGGAAGGTGGCCCATGAGGTCTTTGCCCCACTGCCACGGTATGCAGATCTTTAAGTAATTAGGGCAACAGTTTAAACCATAATCAATACTAATCCAGGCCTAGTTTGGGGAAAGAGAAGTTGCCAGAATGTAAGAGAAGAAATTTGCACAAAATACAAGTATCTCTTTTTTTGCAACAAAAGAAACTATTTATTTGGAATATGCATTACCAGTACAAATTAGGAGACTGTAAAACCTACACCGTGTTAGTATCATTAGAGAACACAAAAGTTCAGTTGGAATCAAAAGGGACAGAAGCCTGTGCTCTCACAGAAGCAGAAAAGCTTAAATTTTCAAAACCAAAACAGAGCAGAGCTTTGCAGGTTTATACTCTGAATAATAAGAAAAGGGGAGAGGGAGGGGGAGAATAAAACCAACAACCAAAGGAAAGCATTTCAAAATGAAAATGCCAAAGGAAAGGAAAAGAAGGAATGAGAGAAAAGGGGGGAAAACATTGAATGTTTTATTTATTTTAACAAAAGAAAAAAAAAGTTTACAAAAAATGAAAGATTCCAGAAAGCTTTGAGCTAGGGATTGAAACCACAAAGGTGATGTGAAAAGCTTGTCATTATTTTGTTATGACTTAAACACAGGAGCACAAGTGTTCAGGTAGAAATATTTTCTAAAGTGTTGCTCCACAATTCTGCATTCTTCCTTCACTTCTTTTGCTTAAATTCTGGCTGCTTTCTGAACTTAATTTGTTGGATGAGAGAGGTTTAAAATTTAGTTTCTTCCAGATAATATTGCTTTCTTTTTTCCTCTAACTAATAAAAACATTCCGAATCATGCCAGTTTTGCAATTTGCTTTAAGCAGCTGCCGAAATCAGAGGTTCATAACAGGTGTGCTGTCAGTGAAGCAAGCTTAACCTCTTAGCATTAAAAGTACAGCATTAAAACTCAGTATCTCACCAACTCTTCATACAAAATCAGGACTCAAGGGATAAGCAGGCAGACCGGCCCCAGGGACTGCTTCCTGGATCTAGTCTACTCAGCCAGTGGTGCCCATCATACTAGTATCTCCCGCGGGATTCTTCTGGAAGAAAAATCCTCTGTAGCTGAAAGAGGCCTCATGGAATGTTGTTATTAACCAGGGAGAAAGAAAAGAAAGCACTTGGTTGTGACATTCAGAATCGCCAAAGGCAAAAAGCTTTCCCTATAGTATAAAAAGTTTCCCTGGACCCATTTCTTGAATTTTTAAGGGGCTACAGGGAAAAGCAAGCCCCTGATTTTATTTTTCTCAGGGACTTCAGGAGTGCCACACGCTTTGGAAATGCAGGTGAGCAAGGAAACATCAGCATGGGCTTTACCTTCGCTTTTGACGTCAACTGAATTTGGAAGCAAAGTAGAACAAGAAAACAGCCTATATGCTACCAGAGTCATCTTTTCACATCATCTCATATACATATTAAAGGAAGAGAAACAGCAAGATAATAATCCTGACAATTAAAAAAAAGCCCCCCCCCAAATAAACAAACCAAAAATAACACAAAATAAAACATAATCTTTTTTTTTTCGTATTTTTAAGATTAGGAATAAAGAAAAGAAAAGAATTTATTTCCGGGTCTCAAAGTTAATAAACATAACAACGTGTTAGGTTGTACCTATTATGCTCACTATTCCAACCTTTTTTTTTTAAGTTTACAAAATGAATTACTGTCACTTTTAAACATTGTGAAACAAGAAATGGATGTGCACAACTCGACACTTTTCTAGCATTCTTGAACTAATTCACAAATGCAAGAAAATAAAAGAAAAATGGGGGAAATGATGAATGTAGGTAGTTTGGTGTTAAAACTAATGCAGGAATGATGCTCATTGTCACAGAAAGAAGAGGGGAAACTCCCCATCCTGTTTTGCGTGCTATGAGGGTCATTTTTAAAATTTTTATTATAAACACTATTAAATTCAGACCGCTTTTTTGGTTTTTTTTTTCTTTATCTGAATATACAAGAACATTCATTATCAAATGTTCATCATCAATACTACAAAGAACGAGACACAAGTCGCAAGAAACAATGGAAAATGTTAATAAAGCTGAAAGAATCGTTGAGTATTTTTTTGTGTTTTTTTTTAAGTTTTTTTTAAATTTGAGTTTCTGTAGTTTCATCTTTTTTGGTATCGAAGTCAGGTTTTTCTGGGCAGAAAAACAAAAAGCAGAAGGGAAGAGGGGAAACAAGATATGTGTGAGAAAAGGCAACCAGCAAATAAAGAACGACCACCACAGCGAAATAAAAATTAAACTGAAAGAAGGCGCCACGTGGCAGAGGGCTGCACGGGAGTCGATTCCACATCACGGGGAGAAGTTAGGGATGAAAAGGAGGAGATGATGAAGAGTTACAAGGTGGACAAACCCAAGGTCTAGTATCGCTTCTCCAGGGAAATCTGCTGTCAGGGAAAATGGAGCACTCCCACTTCCGTTAGAAAATGAAGGAATCCCGGGGATCTGGAGGGCTGACCTAGTATGAATTCCCAGAGGCACGCTCTTTCCAAACCCATCCTGCTGCTGTCAGTGTTCTCCTGCTTGGGATGGCGCGGCTGCCACGTTGGAGGTGACAGTGGGCCTGGGGAGAGTCTGTGGGGCAAGTACTGGGGATAGAAAGGACTGAGTGGAGTGCTGGGTGGGGAGGACGCTGTGAGAGTGGTCATCAGTGCAAACTACTGCCTGCAGAGAAACTGCCCGTGCAAACGTAGCACTGTGCTGAGCTTTTGCATACACTTAACATGGCAGCCATTCAAGCCAAATCTGGAGTCAGTCTTCTTGTTGCCAAGAGAACCCTTTTGTATTAGTATCTCTTTCATACTTTGCCCCAAGTCAAGCAGATGTGATCCAGCCATGGTCCTGTGTGGGTAGTCACAAAGATGCTCCTTCCAGGCACCCTGTTTAGCCCTGTTCTGATTACAGCACAGATTAGTAGACATGGCCTTTCAAGTGCCCTTATCATCAAGGCATAATCTCATTTTGCCAGATATTTACTTTTTGCATTTCCTGCAAATACATATATCCTTCAATTTCTTAGGTAGCATCCCCAGCCCCCCAGAGCACACAGAGAGGAGCATTTTCTATTCACTACTGTAGTGCTATGCAGAATGTCCACGCCCCTGTTAGCTAGCCATCCTCACCCCTCAGGGTCTTGTACTTCTCCCTGGGAGCCTCCCAAGTAGAGGAGATGAGACAGGGACCAAGCACGTACAAGGCCACATGTTGGGTTCAAGTACAAACTAAGAGAACCAGGTCCTATTTTTCTAGTTTGGAAGCTTTTCTCTATCCTAAGAAACCAAACACAGCAAAACTAAGAAAACCAACAATAACTCTTCTCTTTGTCATCATGTTGATGGCATCAGAGTACCAATGGTGACCACAAGTTAGAACAGGACAGACATTTATTGTCCCTACATGGCATGAACCAGTCTATCTCAGGGATGTTACTTTCCTTGACTTCATATTTGCAGATTGGATATGAATGAAATCAATTTCTCCCATCTCTCACAAGCCTCTTGGTGAATCAGGCATAACAATCTCCATTTTACAAATGAAGAAAATGAGGCACCAGGAGAGGTGACCACCCCCCACTTAATCAACTGACGGAGCTGCCATCTTTATTGCTGGTAGGGCTGGCTCTGAAGATGGTGAGCTCAGGTGACATTCCAGAATAGCTTTCCCGTACATGTTACTCTCTCTTAGATGTTCCTAAGGAATAAAAGTCACTGATGATTTCAAGGAAAACATCCCTCCTCCTTTCCCCATGACTTTTAGGTCCTCAAATTAAGCTAACAAAAAGTTCACATGAGCCACGTTCTTAGACAACTCTCCTCCAGAGCAATATGTCAGGGTCAAGAACAGAGTGCGGTATAACACTTTGGGTAATTAATACTATGTGCCTAATATAAAACCAAAAATGCAACAGATCCAAGTTCTTTATAGACACTGTAAGTACTGTGTGTGGCTGCCTGGGCACTCAGAGGTGGTGGGAACAGCAAGAGCTGACGTGGCAAACCTGGCCTTTGTCACGATCACGTCCTGTGCATGTCATTCTGTTAAGCGCATGCTATTGGGCCTGCAGGTCCTGGAAGCCCAAACACAACAGTGACCTTCACTCAGAGTTGCTAATTCCGTCTTGGGCTCATAAGGTATACTGCTATGGTTACTAACGTAAGTATTTGCAAATGGCATCCTGGGAATGCGAAGGCGTGAGACTGTGCATGTGCCTACATATGCATGTACGTGTGTGCGTGCGTGTGAAGGGAGAGTCGAAGGGTTTCAGGAGAAGAACCTTCTCCTTGGTGATGTCTTCATCACCATGGCTAACTCAGGCCTGGATTTGTGATGAGTTCTAAACATTGCTTACTGAGTGTTGAATGGTTTCCAAAGACTGTGCCTCTGGCACTGAGAGCTGCTGTTGTTGGGAGGATAAGAAAGCCCGTAGGAATCCTGCCCGTGCTGTTCCCGTGCCCTCCCGGCTGCCTGACCTCCTGCCTAGGAATCAACCCCGTGGAGCTGAAACCAGAAAATGTGGCACCTTCGGAAGCCCAGCTACGGCAGTCCCCAGTGGGCACCGGGGGCTGGGAAGGAAGAGGAAAGCGTTCCAATCGGTGTTGTCCCCAGGGAGGAAGAGTAAGAGGAGGCAGGGGGCCTGGAAGGAGGAGGGCAGTGTGGTGTGTTCCTGCTAAGAGGTAGTGAGAGTAGCAAGAGAAGCAGAGAAGGACTGTCTGTCAGCAGAGGGAGCGAGGGATCCGAGTGAGGTAAATCTGGCTCCTCAAACCACCAGCATGAAAACATACAAACACGTTTATTATTTTCTTCGTCATTTTTTTCCTCTTTAAATTCCTCTAATTGTTGAAAATATCCTTCAGTGATGTCATAGAGGGCGGGGGCCCCGGGAGTCTAGGGCAAAGGCAAAGGGAAGATGACGGGAACCAGGCTGACAGCTGGAGGCAGGGAGGGGTGGCTTCTACCCAGAAAAAAAAAGGGAAGAGAGTATAAAGAAGTGTCCAGATTGGCTGAAATAGCATCCCAAAGAAGAGAAGAGAAGGAGACTCTTATTGTGTTTGCTGATTGCTTCGACCTCCAGTCTGACCGCTTCAGCGTTGGGAGAGAAACCCTCCCTCCTGCCCCTGCCCCAACCAGGGCACAGGGTCAGCCGGGATGCGATTGCTGGGAGATCAGTTGGAGGTATCAGAGTGAACACTGCCAGGGCCTTCTGTAGGGGAGGTCACTGATGAAGGGGTAGTAGCATCCTGCCAACCTCCATTAGCCTAGAAGGGAAAAAGGGAGAGAAGTCAGTCCTCTGAGATCGGGTGGCCATTTTCAGCAGACAATGACAATGAGGCAACTTGTGTAAAGGACCCAGCACAGGGCCTGGCACATGGGGACACTTATCAAATGGGCGACTATTATTACTGTAGGTAATAATATTCCCCCACCCTCAGATGAGTTCAGGTCCCCCCCAGTGAGCCTTTGGATATGATGTTGTCACTTTGTCACTCAGTCCAAGCCATCAGTGGAATGACAGCTGCCCTGCAGGTCAAGAGACCCAGGTTTTGGTTCTGACCCTGGCAACAACTAGCTGTTGTTGATGGTGAAGCACCTTCACCTTTTTGACCTTGATCTCCCCTTTTGAAAAATAAGAAGATTGGCTCAGATGCTTTCTAAGGTTCTTTCCAATTCTGGATGTTCCGTATGTTTATGAGATTGCAGGTACCTGTTCTGTACAAGGCTCTATACTAGCGGGTATATAATGATGAGTGAGATATGGTCCATGTTCTTAAGGAGGGAGATAAGACAAGCCCATGAATGAACTATAATTCAATGGCAGAACCTAATAAATGGTAGAGCCCCATTGTTATGAAGTTTCCAATGCAGGCAATACCACATCTCGCTGGGGCATCAGGAAACACTTCACGTAGGAGGCGCTCTTTAAGGTGAGCTTTGAAAAGTACAGAGGGTATTTCAGGTGAATATAACAGATTAAACAACGGTGCTAAGACCATAAAGACTGGTCTGCATGAAAACATCTAGAAAGGAGGTGAGATGGGAAGCTACAAGCTTGAGCTACATTTGGAGATCATTTTTCTAAGACTCTAGTCCCAGGAGCATCCAAACAATGAAACTCTTCTAAAAAGATTTGTTTATCGACCACCCTTTAAAAAAATCTCCCAGCACTAAAATAGCTCAAGAATGATTTGCTAGAGTGGTTAATTCATGACGCAAAATTCATGACTGTTTGTATGTTCTATGGCATTAAAATATAAGTGAGCTAAAATGCCTTTCCCCCCGCCAATCACTATGTTCCTTTGGAGTTAATAAACCTCAACTCTGGAAGTGATCATTTTCAACAGACCAGGTCTTAGATGTTCCTGGTAAAATGTCTGCTATTGTATTTTCCTCTCATTTTATTCTCTGAAAAATTTGGGGTAGATCGTGCAAGTATTATTACTGCCATTTGGGAGGAACCACCGCATCAACTCTTGCATAATCCACAGCACTTAGGAGAGTGCCTGGCGTGGAACAGGTGCTAGCAAATGTCTGCTTACACTTCATTCATGAGAGAGCAGAGAGGTGCAGGAGAAAAGTGTCCTGGTTCATGACCGAGACAGAACACAGGCCTCCGAACCTCAGAATCAGGGCCCCCTTTCTCTGCCCTTTTCATCCACGTGGCTCTCTTTTTCCTTGGCTCACCCAAATGATGCTCCAACTTTCCCAGGAAAGCTGGGCTTTTAATTCAAAGCAGCTCCTACCAGTTACTTCAGCATAAGGGTAGGTTTTGTCCACAGCTCACTGAAGAGCAGATGCCAAGAGGGCATCCCGGGCAACGCCAAGAACACACCTCCTCAATCATGGGTCAATGAACAACTGCTCTCAAGTTCCAACCTCCCATCTCCTAATCCAGTCAGGTAGGTCCTCCCACTCTTCTTCTCTGCTGGAAGACATTTCTCCCTATTGTTTGTGATAGAAAGATTAGATGGAGAACAATGAGGAGAAAATGAGAATTCATTCTTTCATAACAGAAGGCTTTCCCATCTTTGTGGGGCCAAGACTCTGTAGTATAATCAGAATCAAGAACAGAATTAATTCAAATTTCTAATGCAGGAATATCACAGGGGTGATGATATTATAGCCTCCCTTCCCAACCAAGAATATATATTCTGGTGCTATTTTAGCCTGACTAAGAATGACAGTTATGTTTATTTTTCCCCAAAGAAAATCCTTTAATGTCATGTATCTTTTTTATTATAAAAGTAAGGAATGCTTATAATATTTGGAAAATAGAAAGGCATAAAAAACAAAATATACAACACCCATAATCCTACTCAGAGATAATTACTGTTGGCATTTTGATATCTGTCTATTCTAATCATTTTTATATGCATATGTTTACCTAAGAGGTATTTAGATAGATAGATAAATAGGCAGGTCTGTACACATGGGGGTGGCAGGTGGGTGCTGGCTGAGCAGTATAGAATTTTAAGGAAACGTGACAGAAGTTCTTGAAGTACCATGTCATGAAGCAGAGTAAAATGCTGATAAGAAAGAAAACAGCCACCTATCTTGGAATCAACTTGGCATGAGACAAGTAGATAAGGAAGCTCTATGAAAGCAGTTAGCATCCACGTCATAGCCCGTGGAACAAAGCAGTTTTATTAATTGCTCACGAAACCACTATTACTATTATTCAGCCATGCCATAATTCCATTAAGATAATAAGTGGTACCAGAAATGAAGCCATTAGTAAAGAAAATTAGTTCTATGGTGTTTCATTAAGAAGAAATTGGCTAGGCATTCTATATTGTCCAGAGGTTCTGGGAGACTTCTTTTTGACCCATGTCTGATCGGAAATAACTCCAACAGTAGACATTTGATCTCTTTACTTAAAGAGTTCTGTTTTCTCAGACCAGTGCGTAAGATGCCACAGAGAACTCACAGATGGGAGAGACAGGAATTGGTTCAAGCTGATACCAAAACCAGCATTTTAATTACGCTAGTCGGCCTGGTGAAGAAGAATAGGCAAAATCTTCTATTAAAAATAAACACGTTAAACAAACCTCTTTAAGCTCCTTTTTCCCACTCCCCTTCCATCCATAAACATGCACACAGCCACTCATACATGGGCACACCCCTCAGATTTGGGGAAAAGCCATCCCAGTTTGCCCAGGACTCTCCCGTCGGCACTGAAGGTCCCATATCCCAGTAGTGGTCATCCTACTTCAGGATACGCCAACTAGAACCCTTTACTTCCTGCCAAACTTAGGACACTGTGGCCTATGACATTCGAGTTAGATAAACGCAAATACTTTTTAGAATAAGCATGTCTGACCCTGAGAAACGTGGAAGAATCCTTTCCTCTAGAGGGGCTTTTTACAATGGTATATTATCTGCTGCCGTTGCTGATAAAAGCTCCACAGCGTCAGACACTGCGCGCAAACCCAACTTAGCCGGGTTTCCCGTAAATCACTCGGCTGCTTCAGCTGTATCCTTCCAGCTTTAATGCAAGGCGTTCAGAGGCTGCACCGTCTTGGGAAACAGCTGACCTCGCTTACTGCCACGTTAACCCTGGGGAGCAATTCCTTCCCTCTTCCTCGACTGCGGGTGAATATTAAGTAGGAAACTCGGCCTTTGTGTGTTTGTTTATCTCTGGGCGCGGGGAGAGAAGAGGATGCTCTCATTAACAACCGTGCGGGGGTGGCGGGAAATGAGACTTTCATTTTTATTTTTCTTCTACATCCCAACGTCCCCCTCCACTCTCGGATGCAAACTTTCCTTTATGATGGACGTACTCTTCAAAACGCTCATGTCAGGGACCACGCCAAAGGGTTACGGGGGTGGGAGGTACAATCTGCAAAGCCAAATGTGCCCTTTTTATCTCTGAAAACATTTCTAATGGAAGGGAGTCTACATTTGCACCAGGTAGTAAAGATAATTCTGTGGCCTGGGAAGCAAGACCCAGTGTAATCTTTAATTCCATCACATGGAGCCTAAGCCAGGAGAGAAGGCTCAGCCTGGAAGGGAGAAGTTAATAGAATATAAAATTAGGACAAAATGCAGCAGGTTTCCAAAATAAGAGAATCTAGATTTTCAAAACACATTGAGGGTATTTGGGAACAAAGTGTTTCAGGAACAAAAGTGACTATTTACTCTATAGCCTGTGCACCCTACTGAATTTGGCATATAATTTGATATATACCACATTTTGCTAGAACTCCCTCTCAAGGATAAGGCGAAGCAGGCCTGCCTGAGGAGGCAGAGGAGCCAAGGATGGGGCAGTGGTGGACAGGACAATCCACGTGGTTTCTCCTGGCAAAACACAGGGCACAGAATCACAGCTGAAGCCCTGACTTCTCTCGTCTCTGACACCCTCCTTGAATCAGAAGAGGGGCCCATGAAGTGGCCCCTCCCTCACTGTTGTGGATCCAGTACTGCTTTCAGCCCAGAGCAGTGGCTGCCGGGCTGAGGATGGCCTGTCCCATCTCCTCTCCTTCCTGCTCTTCCTCTGTGCTCACCTTAGCAGCACACCATTGATGCAGAGAATTCATCACCTGATGTGACAGCCCAAGCGAGCCTGGCACTAAGAAACTCTCATTTGCAACCCAGAAATACGCTGAGGTGCCACAAACCGGCTGATGTCAGCACCGAGTCGAGCTAGATCTGCATACGGGCCAGATGCCATTATTGGAGATGCCTTGAGCGTGGGTGAGGAGGTGTACGTGCTCCAGGCCCTCGATCACCCGGGCACTGGTGGGGCCAGCCAGGAAGAAACACAACGAAACAGCAAGGCATCCTCTCTCCTTCTCTATGCAAACGCACACTCGTGCATGCACACATGCATGCGCACGCACACACACAGCGTCACTATGTATCAGGCAGACATCAGCTCTCACAGTGGAGATCACGCCCTAGATTGATCATTTTTCTATCAAGGTAGGAGAACTATGTTTTCCTGATATGCGTAACACTTTCCCAAGATTACACAGAGAGAATTTACCAAGAGATGCTCTGGGATGAAAAGATGCTATTGGAAAGTTCCCTTAGGGACATTAATGGATTCACAGTCTCCCTGGGGGATTTTACCATGGTAAGCAGGTCCATGTCCAGTCCCATCTCCAGCTGCCACCAGAGTGATCTTTCAAAAATGTAATTGTGATCATATCACCTCCCTGTTTAGACCTTCGATGGCTTCCCACTGGCCTCAAGATGAGGTTCCATGTCCTCAGCAGGTCTACAATGTCCTTGACCTTGCTCATCCCATCCCAACACTCGT